CTATATCTCTAAAACGGCTCGACAGAATTCTTTTGTAAACCTCATCTCACAATCTCCATGATGTATATATTAATGTTTGAAACCTTCATTGAGATTGATTCACTGCAACACCTTGAAATTTCAAGACGAATCTAGCCTACGAACCGACCAAAAATCCGGGTTACAACATTTACTGTTTCGACGTTACGCTAATTTTCTAAATTAATGCCCACCATACATACCTCAATGGCTAGTACATTTAAATTGTGAGCATTGTCAATGTTTTACATTCAAATATGCAATAAAAGTCGTACTAAACTGTACTAGCCTCGGAGGTATGTACTAAAAAAGACATTCTGACAACCTTGGAAATTTTGTGGAAATCAGACAAGGATAAATCACTTTTAAGGTGATTGAAAACATCGGTATGGTCTACGAAAAACTGTATCGAAACACCTTAAAAGCTATCCATTATAGTGTTAACATGGTTTTTAAGGCTGGTTTTTTTTGACAAAACAAACAAAAAAGCAGGTCATACAAGTCATTATTTCATTCTTTAATATGATCTATCTTGGCTGCGCCCCCGCTAAGTATAATGATAGGTGGCATTGAAGTTGGTTGTAAAACCATCACTTCAACTGAAAAATCATCGATATTTGTTTATTAAGAGTGGAGAAAAGAATTTTTGGATACCTTTGTACGCTCGCAGTAATTCATTTAGCACATCCATTTTAAATTGTTTCGTTCTTGCTTCAGATAACTGTCGTATACTGGCGTTCCGAGCACCTTCCTTCTTCATTAACAAACGTTTGGTGAACCACACTATAGGAAAAAAAGAAAGTGTTGATGATATTGAGATCTGCAAGCGGCATTGTTACTACGAAGACAACTGCGTGAGTGTCAACTATCACGTGGACCCAAAAACATGTGAGCTCAACAATGCCACTCACCGATGGCATGATAACGAGCTCAAAAATGAAGATAATTACCTCTATCACGGAGCAGATGTAAGATTTTTCTTAATTCTTATCATTGCCAATCCTCCTCCTCAAATTTCTCTTGTTCTTGTTCTTCAATTCTTTCTCTCGAATTCGTCTTGCTCTTTAGTTCTTCTCGTTCCAGTTTTTGTTCGTGTTTGAGTTCTTCCCTGTTCGTGTTCGTGTTCGCGTTCTTGTTCGTGTTCGTTTTCGTGTTTGTATTTGTGTTTGTGTTCGTGTTCGCGTTCCTGTTCGTGTCTTTGTCCGTGTTCGAGTTCATGTTTGTGTTCTTGTTTGCATGTTCAAGCTTCAGTTCTTCTTGTTGTTCTTTTTCTTTTGCAACAACTCTTAATCTGTTTATAATTTCTTTTAGCTACCATTTTCTTGCCTGCTTAGCCTTTCTTAGCCCGTTTCTTCACGCTCTTTGCCGCTGGGGGCATTTCGCGCGGAGGAACATCTGCGACTCAGCGACAGAAATTCCATACTGATGACGTAAAATATATCCAGAATCCGGTCAGAATCCCTGGTTGGTCGACGGAGTAGTTCCATTGTTTTAGCTATTGTTTACGAATGACAGACAAAAGACAAAAGTTGTGAAAGGTTTGAACCCAGGAGTCATTTCAAAAGTAGGTTGAGTTTGATCGTCCGGGTGAACGTAGTCCTGAACAGGACAGTTCAGTAACAGTGACTGACGTTTCGACAACCTGTGCGGCAGTCACTGTCAACAACGACAGTCCTGTTCCGGACTACGTTCGCCCGGACGATCAAACTCAACCTACTTTTGAAAAGACAAAAGGCCACAAAGGTCAAATGTAAACGCGATAAATCTCTAACAAGACAGTCAATATTTGTGGAATATAGTCTTGTCTAGGACAATGATTTGAGTTTTGCTGGAGCTTGTTCGCAGTTGAACACAAAAAGAAAGAGAAGAAACCTAAAATTGAATAAATTTACGTTTGGAACTCCATGACTACCGAATTTATTGAGTAAACATTGATTTGCGTCATCAGTATGGAATTTCTGTCGCTGAGTCGCAGACGTTCCTCCGCGCGAAACGTCCCCAGCGGCGAAGACCGAGGAGAAACGGATGTTTTCGCAGGCTTAACCATTTTCTAGTAACCAATTTTATTTGAGCTCGTATTTTTTCTATGATAACTACCAAATCAACCAAAAAAACCTTTTTGTTAAGAGTGCCTGTGATGAAATCAACTGCGATAATGGCAGAATCTGTCAGTCTGGATTTACCGTGAAGGGATATCGATGTGTGTGTCCGTCTGGTTTCAAAGGAGAACACTGCGAAAAAGGTAGGAACTCTTCAATACATCACGTGTTGTTGTTTTTTTATTAGCGAATGTTCTAAATTTATAATAAATTGAGAGGAAACAAATGTCAGCCTTCAGATGATGCAAGAAATATGTCTACATTGTTTTTTGTTGACATGATAAACGAGTGTGTAACAGGAGAGCATAACTGTGATACAAATCATGCGTATTGTAACAACACCAAAGGATCCTTTGCTTGTCTTTGCAAGCCAGGATATACTGGAGACGGTCTAACTTGCACAGGTAACAAAACAAAAATGTTTAGATATCAAGAATCAAACGACGAATAACAGTCATAGAGTTGAATTTATTTCCGAGAAGAGAAAACTTCTGTTAGAGCGAAAACATTTGAATTCGTGGGTATACTGGAAACGGACTTGCTCAGGTAACAATATCAAAAGGCCAAGGTATCTAAATCAAACGAAAATAGACGTGAGCGTCGACTTAAAATCACTACCAGTAGAGAGTTTACAGTTGATTTTTTAAGTTTCATTTGCAGTCATGATAATATACGAGTCCCAAATAGGAAAGCATTATTATTGTGACGCAGATCATGCATATTGCAACAGGCCAAAGGATACACAGTGTCTTCTTTTTGGAAGACATTAGCACATGAAGGAAACGGTCTCTGAGTAACTGTTGCAAAGACATACAATATGCTTAGCTACTCCTCAATCTTGCTTTGTGTCCTCCCGTCGATCGAACCTCTGCAATGGCAGTTTAGCACAATTTTAGCCACATTTTCTAAATGACCAATGTTGTTGAGGTTGTAACTAGGAATATACGATTTTCTTTATCATTTTCAGATGTTGATGAGTGCACCCCAGGATCACATGACTGCCTTCAGAGTCTCGCGTCTTGCTCAAATACTCATGGCTCGCACAATTGTTATTGTCAAGATGGATATGTAGGTGACGGGAAGACATTCTGCAACCCTAAAGGTAGGGATTATTGGTGCTTCAAAAGGAGGGGTGATGGATTGTAGTTAGTTGATAGCGCGTCCTGCTTAACGGTTGCTAACAAAGTGCCGTGTTCTCAGCAGACCGACTCTATTTCATTAGCTTCAACAAATCTCCTCACAGGCCAACCACAGATGTGTTCAGAATACACGCGAGGATCATTTTGGCGAAACTTTTAATGGACTAATAACCAGTACATTGCTTCTTTTGATTAATTTGTCACTTACTAAACTTGCAAAATAATCAGAATACCCATAACTTAAGACCACTTGGCTTGCATCTTGGTGGATAGAATTTAGCGATTATCCTTGTCAATATGGGATTTAACAGTTACTTTGATGAGGCATGATCCAAGTGATCTTGGATCATACATCCTGATCTTGATCAACTGAAAGGAACGAACCCTAAATGAAGAAAAATGGCGAGATTACAGCCTCAGGAAAACATGAGGCTTAAGAAGCGAAAGAAAAAAATAGAAAAGGGAAAAGGAATTAGGGGAGATTTATGTAAGCAAGTTTCTTTTCACCTTAGCAATAAAAGTTGAAACAGTTACTAAACTGAATTTTAAAATGCTGCACTGAGCTTTTGTACCCATAGGACACATGGGAATTACTAAATTCTAAATCTGCCTATTTATAAATACATCAGGAAAGCACTCAGCGGATTTGTCCTTCCCTTTAGAATTCAATGCAACATTCACTTGTGACGATGAAATGGAAATTTTTGCTGACGGTCAAAGCCTCGGAAAAGACAGTGATTGGGAAAAACCCACAACCTACCTTGTACCAGGAAACACTCGAGTTCTGTCAGTAGCCGGGAAAGACCATGGAGGCAGATATCTCGGACTACTCGGCTCCACTAGCAACGGACAGGTAACTAATGAAACTTGGAAATGCAGCAGCGTTCTGTCATCCGGATGGAATTCCCCGAATTTTGATGACCAGAGCTGGCCTTTGGCAAAAGTGATTGCAAACCATGGGGACACTCCTTGGGGTAAACTAAATGGTATCGCTAAGTGGATATGGGGAGACACCAACAACAAAACTGCTTATTGCAGACTGACACTACAGTAAAAAAGTCATGAAGAGATTGTCGCTTCAAGCTAATTTATTGTTATTCATAATTTTCATCATTAGTCTTTCGCATAGAAAATAAAGTGGTCCTTCCTTTGTTGCCTCAAAGAAGCTGTGTCACAAATTTTATCAAAATTCAAGCAGCTGGAAACTACCGCAGGATGCAGCTGCGTTCTGTCACCCGGATGGAATTCCCCGGATTTTGATGACCAGGAATTGCCTTTCGCAAAAGTGATTGCAAACCATGGGGACCACCCCTGGAGAAAAATACGTGGCATAGCAGAGACGGCTAAGTGGATATGGGCCAATATTAGTGAACGCACTGTCTATTGTAGGCTGAAACTACAGTAAATTAAAAACGGATTGTAACGTTGAATTTAACTAAGACGAGAAAATGTGTAACTTTAGTCAGTTTTAAGAGTACGAAGCAGATAGAAGTATGTAATATGAACTTAAATTTCACCTCTGCCTCAGTCACCTATTTTTAAAGATCCCGTTTATTTGAGTATAAATGTACTTAGCACTTAAGTACTAATTGAGGACACTATTTTTACGTCTCCTACTGGGGAAGGGACAGCTATTTTACATGGTTATTCTAGCCACGAGAAGATCTAGCTGTTTGCATGCAGCGCAAAGGTAGTAGCTTTATTTCATTTCTCACTCAGCGTTGTTGAAGATTCTGAGTATCAGTCCGGCCTCAAGAGAATCGAACCCACGACTTTCCGCTCTTCAGTCAAGCGCTCTACCGATAGAGCTAATCCTGCTGGGGTCGAATTCAGCAGTTTTTTTCGTCTTATCAAGTAACCAATTCGTTATGCGATGCATTTTAGCGAAGGTCTCTGCAAGATGAAACGTTGCTATTCTTATCCATAATAGTCTCCAATAATTACTTGTAAGCATAAAAAATGTGCTCCTTTTTTAGAGAGACTTGGAACCACGTTTTTAAGACGATGATAAATTTTTATGGTAAGGAAATAAATGAGCAAATACAAACTTTCCAAAACAATTCTTATCAATGAAACTGGGGGTAAATCTAATAAAACTTTCACAAGTTGATTCACAAATGTATGGCTATTAATAGTTTTTACACAACGTGACAGCATTTCTTAATTTGTCGTTTACTGTTTATCATATTGGCACAAAAATTAATAACTGCATGCAGGGATCCTTTAATAAAACTTTACAAGCACAATTTACAGGTGTAATCATTGTTTTAATTCATGTTTCACTGTTTCTAAATATTTTTATTTACCCAAACACTAAACAAATGCGAGGTGGCTATCACCACAATTCATCTTGTGTTTTATGAGTGTGACATCTCACTGCCAGTCGTTTCCATGGTAACGCTGTGGAAGGACGGACACTCGCATAAAACCAGGTTATCTAAAAAAGGGCTCTTTTTCTATTTACCTGTAGAGAACTCCGCCTACCTTCCCAATCCATGCAACTTACCTTCACAATCCATAGGCTAGATATGGGTTTTGAAGACGGAGCGATAAGCAGTAGATGCAAGTCTGTTCCACACAGGTATACATCTGGCAAAGAAAGAGTACTTGGAGGCATCAAAAAAAGCAGGAGCGTACAGGATGAGTTAAAGGAGAACTCATTAGGTGAAGTGCAATGTTTTACATTGGATCTTATAACAAAGTGAAGGATTACAATTAGTATGTTCTTCGCTCTTGCGGTGATAACAGGTATTTCACATTAGTGTTATCTTTAGTTAGAAAAAAACTTTTCGAATTAATCCGTACTATTAAGAAATCTGGGTGAGGAGCAATAGGGCTTCTTAGTGAAGTTAATTATAAATTGTAAATATATGTTTGACGATTTTTTTAGAAATTTGTTTGAAAGGACTCAAATGCAAACAGACCTGAATCTTAAAAGACCCTGAGGTCTGTGCAAGGTTTCATATGCGAGCTGATGCTCGAAGAAAAGTTTTCCCTAGACTTATAGAACTTTGTGTGGACAAGCTTAGTTGGTGCCTCTCTGACGGGCACAATCCGGGGGGGTATAATCAACAGAGATTTATAAGGAGCCGGTAGCTGATGAATCCTTCATGGCATAGAACAAAAGGAACAAGAGGAAGGTTTGAATATCAATTACTGTGTAATGTTAGCTGAATGTAGTACTAAAATCGGATGGGCAATCGATTTAGTACTATTGACGTTGATTCAGTGTTAAACAAACTGCTAAAAGCTGCTTAAAAACGTTTTCCCGCAGTTTCCATTGCTTTACAGAGAATAAGTATTTTAAAAGGAAACCATTAGCTTAAAATTGCTTATCAATTTGTCTGCTTTGAGTCATAAAACTTTTATAGGAAATATTTTAGTTCTTTTATAGCGGAGCTCCACCGGCGCGCGAAGCGCGCGCGTTTGCGGAGCCCCATAGCTAAGGAAATGTGGTAATCTACCCATCCCAGAAAATTTGGTAATCACGTGACCGTACACCGAGCGAGCGGCCGTCCGTCCGCACCACAGGCATACCAATGTAAAATAACTCAATTAACAGGTATGGGAACCCAAATGCAACTCAAGGTTTTATTTGGAAGGAAATCGCATGGCCGCCCGGACTTTTAGAAAGAAAAAAGTCGTGTCTTTTTTGGCGTTATTTTTTATGTGTACACTAACGTTGATAACAGAGAAAGAGCTAGAGCGAGTTACTGAAAATTCGTAGGAAGAAAAACATGGAAATTCAAAGCGGCGGTGAGAAAATGAGAAATGCTAGCGGCCAGCAAGGTGAAAATGAGCGGCAGTGAAAAATAAAAGCGAACATGAACACTCGAAACAAAATATTGGGTAAGGACATACGACAATTTCTCCATAAAATAGTGTGTAACTAGGAAGTTTGACGTTTTAGTCGTACAAAACAGTGTTGTAATCGTGCAAAACAACGACAAGGAAAAGACAAAAAAGCGTGCTGCACGTGCAAATTTGTTTTTTGCTAATTAGAAGAAAAAGTGTGCTGCACGTGCAATTTGTTTTTTTGCTAATTAGATCTATTAGTCTTAAAACCATTTTCATTTTCGTCCCCCGTTTAGCATTACACGATTTAATTTTTTTGTTTACACGTATTATTAACCAGAGCTTCGCTTTTAGCCCTGGCTAAATCTATACTAAAACAGTGGATAGTGTTTTTCGCGCGCTCTGATTGGCTACTCAATCAGTGAATATCCTTCACTATTCACTGATTCACCTCCAGTTCCTCCTCCGAGCTACTCCAAACTCGCGTAAGTTGCGAGCAAAATGCCTTCTCGGTTTGCTGCCGTAAACAAACAAAGAAATTTCACAACTAATCAAGCAAGCTGTTTCCGAAATACACTAAGAAGGTGATGAAGTTCGGATTGGAAGTTTTAACAGGTAAAGCTTTGTCTTTTTGACACGAATTTAGCGATAAAACCGGTGAAAAAGGTTTTTGTTTACAAACGCAAATTAAGTTTTTAAGTCTTGCGTTAATTTATTCAGTTGAGTTGTTCATAAATAAGCTTAAAACTAAATTTAATAATCTTTTTTTATAGAATGATTTTAAATACAAAAAGAATTCACAACTCCTTTTGAAGAAATTTCCGCGCAAGAGCTAAACAAATGCCTTCAAAAGTTTTAATTGTCGGCAAGAAAAAGCGACGACCGCGGCCGCCCGGTCATTACGCGCCAAAATTGTAATCGTTGGCAACCGTATTTGAGTTAAAAATCATCATTTTTGTGCTCAATCATCTCACTGTTTTAGTATATACTAAAACAATTATTCACCGAAGAGGAGGTGGATAGTCGTGAATATTTACCTCACTGCTTCGCAGTTCGGCAAATAACCACGACTAGCCACCTCCACTTCGGTGAATAATTGTTATATATTAATCAGATAGTGAAAGCATTGCTCAAGACTTCGCAACTTGAAATCTTTTGATGATCGTCTTGCTTGTATTCATACTTTTATTGAATAGTTTTAGAATACAATTTCAGTGAATAAAATGTAAGAAAACCGAAGATTTGTCGATTGGTAATAAATAGCCGTATAATGTTAACAAATATCTAGCTCCGCCTTTTATTTCTACTAATAGACTCCAAAATAAATTGACTTGAGGTATCTTATTACCATACTAGTTTTTATTTTCTGTAATTGAAGCAATTCTATTAAATCCTTCGAGTTCTTTCATAACACCTTCTCGAATGGGCTCCTGCCTTTGGACAGAAGTCTAGGTAAGTAAGAACTCTGGGCTTCTTCTTATAAGTTGATTGTAAAGTGGAAATGTAATATCATAATTTTCAAGAAGTTTAGCAACCTCCCCAACACGAGCTCATACGCGTTCCCATTTGAGACAAAACACCACCGCTCCATGTTTCGACGACGGCAACGAGGACGCCAGAAAAGCGACTTTGCACTTGCATTACACTTGTTTGTACATTTCTTTTCCGTCAATACACGATTTCGCTAAGTGAAATTAATTTCACGTTTTATGAAGGGCGAAAAGACAGACGACGACGAACTTTCTTTTCTCTTTCTGAACTCTTATGGTATAAAAAAGGGGAAGTTTAGAATTACGAGAAGCCACTTCTTAAATAACTTTTTCCCTGCCGTCAGGAACTGACATGCGAATAGCATTTCATTCAAAATATATATATATATATATTCAGATACCTGTCTTCCCTAATGTGGTGCAATGAAAGTATAGGAACGAAAATTCGCAAGGAATTTTACAAAAATGTGCACGAGCCGCAGTTAAATGCGAGCAGTGGCTACACACATATTACATAACAAGCATATTTCCAAAACTGAGAGAAAAGTAGATAAACATTTTTTCAATAAGTTAACTATAAAAGTTTATTTACCAACAGCATAATGAGATAAAGCTTTAGCGAGCATATATCAAGAAATGCAAACAAAGCAGCCGAAATATATTTAAGGTATTTTTTCAATCAACATTGAGCAAAACCATATTCAATAGTCATTTCCTACTGAAAGTCTCCAGTGTAAAACACCTGAGGTATCTAGGGTAAAAAGACATTAGAAATGAATTTGGAAGGTATACTATTGTGAATTTTAAAAACTTTTCCTGAAAAATACTTTGTTTGTTTATTTAGCCTTCAGCAACTTTCAGCAAAAAATCTTGACCTCTTGGAACTTATCTTATTTAGTGGTAGTGAGAAATACTAGTTTGAGGAGAAAAAAAATATCAGCTTATAGGAGGTGATAAAACGGAACAGCCATCGAATGGAGGAAAATTAGAGGAGACTGAATAGGAAAAGAAAACAACTCTTCATTTGATTGTAAAACTGAGCACACTTAATAAATTTCACGACTCCTATATTAGAGACGGGAGGGGTACTTTAGGTATTTATCGGCGCCGCCACAAGAGGGTCTAGCCGTTTGCATTAAGGCAAAGGCAATACTTTCACTCAGTTATTTCAAGACTGTCAGTATTGGTCCGGCCTCGACGATCGACCTCGCGGCCTTCCGCTCTGCAGTCTAGTGCTCTATCGAGTTAGCTAATGGCCATCAAAGTACTGAAAACTGTACTGCGTGAGATCTGCCGGACTGCGATGTGCATTAAGAAGATTATAGGCATGCGTTATTGGAGAAAAAACCGAATTCCATGCTGCCAAATATAATAAATAAGGCTGGATAGGTGTCCTTAATATTTCGTAGAGTATAGAGTGGTACAAGTGAATAATATAGTATATAGCAATAACGCCAAATTGTTCTACCTATTTGCGATATGGTATTTTCCTGAGAGATTTTCATGAATGAGCACCCTTAGATATACAGTATCTGACATTTTTTGTTTCTAAGGAGATGTAGCCGGTTCTGGTATATGATGAAAAACACTTCCAAATGAATTTGGTAATCTAACTTTTTTCTGACTTAAGATCGGTAAATAACAACGCTTAAGATTTCTTTACATGGCAAACAGTTATTTTTGACTACATAAATGTCTGAAAATGAATTCGGCTGAATGTATTTTCTCTCTATTTCGGTCCATTCCGCGATTGAGAAAAAAAATCGTTGGATAGAAAGCAGGTACTTCTTCGCCAAGCAAACGTAAAACAAAAGTGTTGTAAAGCATCTGTCACAGGGACAAAATCATTTTTATCTATTTCCAACGACTTGTGGTTGATTATTACGTAGATCCGCTCCTAAAAGTCATCTACTAAATAAATTACATCAAGTTTGTGGCTTTAGTTGGGTTTGGTAAATTTTCTGTATCAAAGAATAAGAATAAGAGTTATGCAGGTCTTGGACGCTGCCTGCTGAGGCGGATAACATCGAATCCGCTTTCATCAGCATAGAACTCCAGAATATAGTGCTGATTAGTTAAAATTAAATCGAGATGAGTGTTTCGGAAGTTCACATTAACGACTGCAATTCAAAATCTTCTGGAAAAAAAATTAGCGACTCTAAGATTACTAAAGTTCCTCTGAAATAACATTTCATGAATAAATTATGAAGATTTTGTCGTTTGGTGATAAATTAGCGTTTTTAAGTCAACAAGTCTTTCACTTTCACGTTCTCAATGATTAAAAAAAAAAGAACTTGTCGAAATAATCCTTAGAATTAGGAAATCTTGGTGAGGAGCATTAGCCTTCTTCTTTGAAGGTAATCGTAGATTCTAAATATATCTTTTATATGGACTGCTATATTGTTTTTAATTTGTTTGAAAAAGACTCAATTAGTCGTCTGAAGGACGATGCACCGTTCAAATTGATGAAACCGTAAGTGCGAATGAACGACCCCCTTGAGGATAAACATCTTAACGGATGAATAAATAAAGCCCTAGACTGCAAAACAGTCCGTATCTTTGCGTATTGAAGTAAGCGCGAGCAGTCAAAGAAAAGGTTTGGAAAGAGGCTGAAAACGGAGAGTGAGACATAATTCTTCATATCTTACTCAGCCTTATTCAATAATTCAGTGTTTAGTTAGAACTCCAGAATTTATTATTCCTTTATAGGGCTCATTGGTTAAAATTAAATCGAGATGAGTGTGCTAGAAGTTCAAATTGCCAACTGCTATTCAAAATCTTCTGAAAAAATAACTAGTGAATCTGAGATCATTTAAAGTTCCCCTGAAATAACATTTCATGAAGAAATTATGAAGACTTTGTCGTTTGGAGGTAAATTAGCCTTTTTAAGTCATTAGGGCTATTTATACGAGGAAAAATAAGACGCGTCTTAAATAAGACGCGAACTGGACCATTTATACGAGCATGTCTTATCTAATAAGACGCGTCTTAGCTAAGCCGCGTCTTATTTTAGACGAAATGTGCCGTTTATACGGAAAGTTCGCGTCTTATTTAAGACGCGTCTTATGTAAGACGCGTCTTATTTTTCCTCGTATAAATGGCCCTAATGNACTGGACCATTTATACGAGCATGTCTTATCTAATAAGACGCGTCTTAGCTAAGCCGCGTCTTATTTTAGACGAAATGTGCCGTTTATACGGAAAGTTCGCGTCTTATTTAAGACGCGTCTTATGTAAGACGCGTCTTATTTTTCCTCGTATAAATGGCCCTAATATGTATTTCACTTTCATGATTTCGATGATTACAAAAAAAAATGACCTCGAAATAATCCGTAGAATTAGGAAATCTTGGTGAGGAGCATTAGCCTTCTTCTTGAAGTTAATCGTAAACTGTAAATATATATTTTACATACGATGTTCTTTTTAATTTGTTTGAAAAAAAATAATAATTTATTTAGCTGTCTAAAGGACGGTGCACCCTTCAAATTGATGAAACCGCAAGTGCGAATGAACGACCCCTGTGAAGATAAACCTTTTAACGGACGAGTAAATAAAGTCCAGAATTTGGCAGACAAAACAAGATAATTATGCAAATGACCTTGTGAAGACTCAGGTCTGTGCAAGTTTTCATATGCGAGCTGATGCTCGGAGAAAGGTTTTACCCAAACTTTTTTTAATTACAGAACTTTCTGAGAACACGTCTAGTTGGTGCCTCCCTAAGAAGAACCAATACTCCCAGGGGGTAGGGAGGTACTCAACAAAGATCTATTTCACGGAAAAATGAAAGACATTAAAGGAATCTGTTATCTCTTTTGGACCTTTTTAAAATCCCTACCCTTTCATATACCTGAAGCCTAAAACAGGTACCACTTTCGGGCGGAGCTTCGCCGTATAGATTATAGGGATCGGAGTACCCCCCGGGAGTCAGGTGCATCTCTGTAAGGCACCAATGTGGAACATCTGTCATTGAGCTTGCTGTGAAAGTGAGAATTCATCACTCGAGGAACTCCTCACAGATGTTAATGCTTATTCTAAATTCTTTTTAACTTTCAGAACCCGCAGTTCAAGCGCTGTATGATGTCTCTGGTACTTTTCACAATTTGTCTTATATCCCAGATGCATGGAAGTGAGGCTGTTGGTGGGCAATGTAAAACTTCAGAGAGATCAGTTCCTGGTAAAGCTCTCAAGGGTCACACCTTCAAAGAGTTTGCAGCGAGGGCAATTATTGAGTGCCAGAACACCTGTGAAAGAGACCCCAGGTGTGCGAGTTACAATTTTTACATTCCGGGCAAAGTGTGCGAGCTTAACAGCCATACCAAGGAGGAGAAACCTGATCATTTTGTGACGGATGAACTGAAATTCTACATGAAACGTGAAGGTATGAAATATATAAAACTTTGTATACCAAACACACCCTCAATTGATTTCCTCGAATCTCCTTATTAGTTTGTCTAGCTGGTAGGACAAAACTTTAGTGCAACACCGGGCGGACTTTCTCGAGGTTTTGAAGGATACGTATTTCTGGTATGTTATTTCCAAAAGGAAACGAGTTAGATTAGTCATGAGTCAAATACATGCTGTCAGTAGCATGTCAAAAGAAAGTCGTCCTTATATTGATAGTCTGAAGAGGGCGTGCTTGATTAAGAAATTACTCACATTTTCCTTATGCTGTCTGTTTTATATCATTAGATGAAGATGAGTGCTTGAAGACGCCTCCAGTTTGTGACGTCAACGCAAACTGCAAGAACACGCTTAGCTCCTACCTTTGTTCTTGTAAAGAGGGTTTTATGGGTGGCGGTAATACATGCCAAGGTAAAACGATCAGGAAAACATGGATTGAACGAAAACGTTAGTGACAAGTATGATCTTTTTAGTGCTACTATTTGAGATGGTTTGCATCACCTTTTTGTTCTCTGTTGTTTTGTCTTCAACAAATTGGCCATAATTGAGACAAGTGGGACTTCGTTTTTCGCGGGCTGCACACTTTACAAAATAGGCGGTCATTTGTCTAAAGTAAATAAATCGTTATCACAATCTCTGTTTCATCGTTATTTCAGACATTGACGAATGTGCAGCTGGGACTCATAACTGCAGTAGCCACGCCGAGTGTAATAACACCAAAGGAAGCTTTAACTGTACATGTAAGACGGGCTTCACTGGAGATGGTCAAAACTGCTCAGGTGATTATTGATTTACATCTTACCGTTGATGTTTATTTCTTCTATGCCTCCTTCCTTAGTGTTAAACCTGTCTTCAATCGCCTTTAATAGCTAATAATAATAATGATGATGACGATGACGACGATGAGGATGATAATGATGATGATGATGATGATGATGACGGTAACAGTTGATAAATGAACAGGAAACACTAAGTTACTTGAATAAAAGCGTTAGTGACAAGTATGACTTTTTATTGCCATTATTTGAAATGGTTTGCTGAGTTTGCAGGAACAGTAGTATCACCTTTTTTTCTGTTGTTTTGTCTTCAACAAATTGGCCACAATTGGGGCTAGGGGACTTCGTTTGTCGCGGGCAACACACTTCATAAAACAGGCGGACAATCGTCAAAAGAAAGAAAACAGTAACAATGGTAATTCCAGTAAAAATCAACATCATAATCTCTTTCCCAACGTTATTTCAGAAATTGACGAATGTGCAGAAGGGATTCATAACTGCAGTGGTAAGGCGGAGTGTAATAACACTAAAGGAAGCTACAACTGTACATGTAAGGCAGGCTTCACCGGAGATGGCCAAAACTGCTCAGGTACTAGCTTTTTATTCACATTAGACTATTACTCTTGTTGCCAGTCATAATATTGTCTATGTCGTCGACTCCAACTGCCCTTGATGCTACAAATACTTTAGCAAAAATGCCATATGTTTTTCAAAGAGATTGTAACACATTTAGTCCATTTCAACGAATGGTGTGAAATCGTATAGGAATATTGTTTGAAAAAATTATGATGGATAAAGAATGGAAGAGCTCGAAGGAGGGAGGGGGGTTATGGTAAGTGTTTGNATAACTGCAGTGGTAAGGCGGAGTGTAATAACACTAAAGGAAGCTACAACTGTACATGTAAGGCAGGCTTCACCGGAGATGGCCAAAACTGCTCAGGTACTAGCTTTTTATTCACATTAGACTATTACTCTTGTTGCCAGTCATAATATTGTCTATGTCGTCGACTCCAACTGCCCTTGATGCTACAAATACTTTAGCAAAAATGCCATATGTTTTTCAAAGAGATTGTAACACATTTAGTCCATTTCAACGAATGGTGTGAAATCGTATAGGAATATTGTTTGAAAAAATTATGATGGATAAAGAATGGAAGAGCTCGAAGGAGGGAGGGGGGTTATGGTAAGTGTTTGGTACGCTCTCCTATTGTAATGCATGTGTTATCAGGCGGTCAGTTAACTAAATTGAGGAACCAACATTTCCTTATATCAGGACCGTCTCCGGGCGACAAGTAAGCTCCAAAAATATCTACACTCTTTCACATTCGTTTTTCAGCGCTTCAAGATGAGAGAAAAAAAGAGAAGCTGATCATTGAAAATACTGTGAAAGTTTACCAGATAAACTTGTAGATCAGCAAAGAACTGAGAATGAATATTTATTCACATTATTACACGCTATTCCCTTGATGTAGCATATTCATAAACAAAAATGGATGTTTGTCAAAGATTGTAACACGTTTAGTCCATTTCAATCGATGGTGTGAAATCAGCTTAGGAATAATTTATTGAAAAATTTCTGATAAAGCATGGAGCAGCTTGGAGAGGAGGGTATCAGTTGACTTTATTGAGGACCTTCTCCGGGCGACGAAATAAACCCCAAAATATCGAAACTCTTCCGCAGTCGTTTTTTTGTTTTTCAGCGCTTTAAGATGAGAAAAAAAAAGAAGCTCGCTGATCATTGAAAATACTCTACAACTCCACTAAATAAACTCGTTGTTAAAAGAAATAGATCCTCCCAGCGACCTTCGTCACGGCAGTGCGAAACAGTGTGTTTCTTAAGTGATAGTACTTGAGGTTGTAAGTGCAGGAATATAAGCTTCTCATTATCATTTTTAGATATTGATGAGTGCATCCAAGGATCACATGACTGCCTTCAAAGCCTCGCGTCTTGCTCAAATACTAATGGCTCCTACAATTGCACTTGTCACGATGGATATATGGGCGACGGGAAGACATTTTGCAATCTTAAAGGTAGGATCACTGGTACTTAATTAAAGTGGAAGGGTGATGCGGTGTTACGCCGCAAAATGAACAAAACAGACAGCGTCGGATAAAAACAGAAAGCGTCTTCACCCGATGAAAGTGTGAAAAGAATGATCAGTAATCGATACTCGCCTCGATTTCATACGGGCTCAGCTCCCTAGAGGGATTGTTAAAAATGTACCATCCTAACCCACCTAATACGTCCTGGATTATGTAACGCCAACTTTCTTTTAAGCGTCACCCATAAGTACAGAAAGATATAATAAACAACAATTTGTTGAACTGTTTCAGGATTTAGTTACTATTATCGAAAAACGTTTTGTAAGTTTATTTGTCATTATAAGAAAACTTTATAAACAAACTGTTTTTGTAACTACCAGACAATTTACACTTTATCTACAAGCCTCATGTCCAAGCTTCTCAGTCATTTCAAGGCTGTAACATTTTGCTTGTTACATTTCGCGTTAAAAATATTGTTTCATTTTGTGTCAAAAAGTTGTTACATTTCGTGTTAAAAAGTTGTTACATTTTGCGTCAAAAGTTGTTACATTTCGGGTTGATGTTACATTTTGCGTCAAAAGTTGTTACATTTCGCGTTAATGTTACATTTTGCGTCAATTGTTACATTTTGCGGCGTAACATGCGGGACTATAGTCAACTGACAGTGCGTCCTGTATAAATGTTGCTAACAAACTGCCGTGTCCTCAAAAAACAAGAAACTCACAGTTTGCTTCAACAAATCTTTCTGCAGCCGTTTACAAGAGATACAAAACGTTGGCTCTGCTTGAAGGGATAGTTACTCGACTAGCCGAGTCACAATTTAACTTTCGATGAAAGGGTAACCCTGCTAGCCAGGTCAACTTTTCTCCATATAAACACTTTCGCTCGCCCAGCCAGGCGAGACAATCAAACCATGCGCGAGTGTTGCTGTCAGCTCTTGGCTCGGGCAAAAGAATCAACTTTTTTCTCATATAAACGCTTCCTAAAGTTGTCGTGGCTGGCAGAGTACGGGTGACCTTCTTTCCCGGCTCGCAGTCTATAATGGACCCATTAGCCAGGCTTTTGTTCTCAAGCGCGCTTTACATTCTATGTGAATACGCGATCAGCACGTTAACACTTCAGTCTTGCGCGTAAACTAGGTAAAGACAAGTGGTATAATAGAACCTTAGTAAAATACCTGTTATTTATTCTAAACTCCAGTGAAAAGGAAAAAAAAAAGAGAGATAAAGATACATTGAAGCCGTGGTTTAAGATTACTCATTCATGTATCATATGACCTTAATTAATGCAAGATCATACATCCTGATCGAGTCCCGATCAACCAAAAGGAACGAACCCTGAATAAAGAAAAAAGGCGATGATAGCGTCAGGAACACGTGAGGCTCAAAACAACATACGCTTGCCACTTCATCAGCTAAAGTTAAGAGGCGAAAGAAAAATGGGGAACACTTAATAAATAGAAAGGGATTGGGGAAAATTTATGTAAGAAAGAATTTTTTTTATGTTGTTAAATTACTAAAAGTTAAAATACTTATTGAATTTTGAAATGTTAGCCTGAACTTTTGTACTCATACTACCCGCGTGGAATTAAAAACAAATTTTAAATCTGCCTATTAATAAATACATCAGGGCAGCATTAAGCGGATTTGTCCTTCCTTTAAGAATTTACTGCAACATTCACTTGTGACGATGAAATGGAAATTTTTGCTGACGGTCAAAGCCTCGGAACGGACAGTGATTGGAGAAACCCCACCATCTACCTTGTACCAGGAAACACTCGAGTTCTGTCAGTAGCCGGGGAAAACACTGGAGGCGTTTTTCGCGGAATACTCGGCTCCACTAGCAACGGAGAGATGACTAATGAAACTTGGAAATGCAGCAGCGTTCTGTCACCCGGATGGAATTCCCCGGATTTTGATGACCAGGACTGGCCTTTTGCAAGAGTGGAGGACCACCCCTACGGAACAATACATGGCATAGCAGAGACGGCTAAGTGGATATGGGCCAATAATAATGAAGACACTGTCTATTGTAGGCTGAAACTACAGTAAATTAAAAACGGATTGTAATGTTGAATTTAACTAAGACGAGAAAATGTGTAACTTTAGTCAGTTTTAAGAGCACGAAGCAGATAGAAGTATGTATAATACAAACTTATAAATTTCATGGTTGCCCCAGTTACCTCTTTTTAAAGATCCAGCTAGTTTTTTGAGCGTAAATGTACTTTTAAAGCACTTAAGTACTAATTGAGCACACTATGTTTACGTCTCCTACTGGAGACGGGACCGCTATTTTACATGGTCATCCGAGCCACCAGAAATTGTGTGTAGCCGTTTGCATGCAGGCCAAAGGTAGTAGCTTTATTTCATTTCTCAGTACTGTTGTTGAAGACCCTGAGTATCAATCGAACCCACGACTTTCCGCTCTGCAGTCAAGTGCTCTACCGATAGAGCTAATCCTGCTGCGGTCGAATTCAGCACTTTTTTTTTCGTCTTATCAAGTAACCAATTCGTTATGCGATGCATTTTAGCGAAAGTCTCTGCTAGATGAAACGTTCCTGTTCTTATCCATAATATTCTCCAATAATTAATATGTAAGCATAAAAAATGAGCTCCTTTTTAGAGAGACTTAAAACTACGTTTGAAAGAAGATGACTAATTTTATGTTAGAGAAATGAATAAGCTAATACAAACTTTCCGAAAAAATTCTTATCGATGAAACTGGGGTAAATCTAATAAAACTTTCACAAGTTGATTAACAAATGTATAGCTATTTATAGTTTTCACACAACGTGACAAAATTTCTTAATTTGTCGTTTACAGTTTATTATATTGGCACAAAAAATAATAATTACATGTAGGGGTCCTTTAATAAAACTTTGCAAGCACAATTTACAGGTGTAGCCATTGTTTTAATTGATGTTTCACTGAATTTAACTAAACTTTTTTTTTCTTTTCGTTCTTTTCGCAAACATCGGCGACCTCGCAAGAAAGAAAAATAAATGCCCCCTTGCGCTGACGGTCAATAAATTCTCCCGCGGTTTTTTTAATCACGCGCGCTTGACGGACTTTGAAGAGAAAATAGAGGCCCTGTGAACAAGCTATACTCAGCCTTATTCAATAACTGTTTAGTAGAACTGCGGAATACATTATTCCTTTATAGGGCTCATTAGTTTAAATCTCGATATGAGTGTGCTGGAAGTTCATTTTGCAGACTGCAATTTAAAATCTTTTGGAAAAAAAAGTAGTGACTCTGAGATCATTCAAAGTTCCTCTGAGATAACATTTCATGAATAAATTATGAAGACTTCGATGTCGTTTGGTGATAAATTAGCCTTTTTAAGTCAATATGTATTTCACTTTCATGTTCTCGATGATTACAAAAAAAAAAGCTTCTCGAAATAATCCGAAGAATTAGGAAATCTTGGTGCGGAGCATTAGGCTTCTTTTTGAAGTTAATTGTAAATTGTAAATATATATTTTATATACGGACGGTGCACCATTCAAATTGTTGAAACCGCAAGCGCGAATGAACGACCCCCATGAAGATAAAGCTCTTGGCGGATGAATAGATAAAGTCCAGAATTTGACAGACGAAAGAAGATAATTATGCAAATGACCTCGTAAAGACTAAGCTCTCTGCAAGTTTTCATTATGCGAGCTGATACTCGGAGAAAGGTTTTAGCCAAACTTATTAGAACTTTGTGTGGATACGTCAAGTTGGTGCCTGTCTAAGAAGAACCAATACTCCCGGGGGGTGGGAAGGTACTCAACAAAGATCTATACGTGGCAGGAGCCTTGTACGGGGAGGCTACGACCCGAGGTCACTCCCCGGCTTACCCCTTTATATACCACTTTTGCCAGAAATGGCACCCCTTTCACATACCTAGTTTAGAACTTTGCGTAAATTTTGATTAATGTAAATAGTCTAATTAGTTTCTTGGCCTCACTCCAGACCTCTTCTGTGACCGTTCGCGCACGCCGTCTTTACCAAGTACCGGAATATGACGTTAACACGCAAAGGTGATAATGGATAAATTTGGCTGGCTTCATTTCCTTGGCGAATAGTACAAAGGCGGTGTACACAAAAGGGTCAAAATGTAGTCACCACAAAACTTAATTCCCGTATCCCGCTACCTTTCCCTTACGATTCCCGCATCCCAACCCAATAAAAATAGCAAATCCCGTTCCCGCTCATTACCAAAATTCCCGCTTCTCACTCCTTTTTTTTAGCTCGCATCCCAAGTACTACCACAAGAAATAGTCAAATACCGCATCCCGCTAAACCTATTGTGGACCCTCTTTTAAGTACTTACGAGAGGTTGACTTGTAACAAGTTCAGACATTGCCGTGCCTAGCCTCCGTACGGCGTCTTCCCAGGCCTTCTCGGTCAACGCATTTCGGTGGCGTATCCGAGACAAAACTAGCTCGGACCACGTGACCCGAAACGCATTGGCTGCGCAGATTAATGAGGCCTAGGGACAAGGCAACGGGTCCTTCGCGATTGTAAATATAACTGGACCCTGGAATTCTGTTACTTTTGTTATAACTGGGTGTCGTGCCCCGGCCGCGAGTTGGGCGTTCGCGCGTCTACTTTTGCTTTTTCACGAAGATTCTTTTTAAAATTAACCGTCTCGTTTCTATGGGTAAAATAATATTAGAAGCGGAATACTTAAAAGTATGATCTATCAAATGTTAAAATTTTTCAAAAGAATAACTTATTTCATCCCAAGATGATCCTAAGACCTCTTTTTTGCTTAAAGATACAAAAATACAGGTTTATTAATATTTAACTCTTTGAAACAAAAGAAATTAATTTTTAACTTTTTAGTTAACTGTAACTGAAATAAATTGACCGATAGCCGTAAAAGAGCCAAAATTTAAGCCGATAACCGTAAAAGCCACCACCTCATTGAGACCACCTAGATACAATGACTTAAAATATGAATAAAATACAAAAGCAAAACGATTTCTTGACTATTTCACAGCCATGTGAAAAACATTAAATGAATCTGTTATCCCTTTTATGCCTTTTTAAAATCCCTACCCTTTCATATACCTGAAGGCTAAAAAAGGTAATCCTTTCGGGCGGAGCCTCCCCGTATTGCTGGTTTTCAGTGTCACGCCATCCAAAATAGATCAAAATAAAAATCAAAACCATTCGACAGATAAAGTCCAGAATCTGGGAAATGAAAGGAGGTAAATATACAAAGACCCTCGCCAAGATTTGGGTCGAAGGAATAATTCGTATACGAGATATCCGAGGAAATGTTTTACCAAAATTTATAGAGCTTTGTATGGAGACGCCATGCTGGAGCTCATCCGGATGAGCTCCAACATGGCGGACGGAAACCAAAAGAAACATCTGTTACCGAGTTTTGCTAAAAAAGCGTGAATTTACTCCCAGAGGAACTCATAAACATTAAAGTAATACTTTTCTAACACTTGAACTGATTAGATAGCAAAATTCTTCGAAAAAAGTCACTTTTTTAACCTAAATGACAGCTGTCTCGGCCGTCATGAAAATGCTGCGTCACGCAAAAGCTTAGAAATTCAAGCGTACTTTATTACAAAACCAAGATCCCTTTTGAAGCGAAAATTTGTTTCAAAATTAGTTTTCAGCTGCTCTAATACACCATGAAAGTAAAATCTCAGTAGGATCAATAGTTTTGTAGTTTGAATTTTAGTGACGTCATGTGAAAACCAGCAAAGAGGGATCGGAGTACCCCCCGGGAGTCAGGTGCCTCTCTGTAGGGCATCATTGGGGAACATCTGTCATTGAGCTTGCTGTGAAAGTGAGAATTCATCACTCGAGGAACTCCTCACAGATCTTAATACTTATTCTAAATTCTTTTTTCAGTTTCAGAACCCGCAGTTCAAGCGTTATATGATGTCCCTGGCACTTTATACCCCAGATGTATGGAAGTGAGGCTGTTGGTGGGCCATGCAAAACTTCAGAGAGATCAGCACCTGGTAAAGCTCTCAAGGGTCACACCTTCAAAGAGTTTGCGGTGAGGGCAATTGTTGATTGCCAGAACACCTGTAAAAGAGACCCCAGGTGTGCGAGTTACATTTTTACATTCCGGGCAAAGTGTGCGAGCTTAACAGCCATACCAAAGAAGAGAAACCTGATCATTTTGTAACGGATGAACTGAGATCCTACATGAAACGTGAAGGTATGAACTGTGTAAAACTTTGTACACCAAACACACTCTCAATTGATTCCCTCGATTCTCCTGATTAGTTTAATTTGTCCAGCTGGCAGAACTAAACTTCAGTGCAACAACGGAGGTTTTGCGAGTTGCGTAGTTCCAAACGAAACGAGTTAGATCAATCATGAGTGATAAACACGCTGTCAGTAGCATATCGAAAGAAAGTCGTCCTTGAATTCTGCAGATGGCGTTCTTGATTAAGAAATAGCTCACATTTTCCTTACACTGTCTGTTTTATACGCCCCCAGGTTGAGTACTGCTCAAGTGTTTGGGACCCCCGCCCAGGCGTTGAGAAAAACGGTTCATATAGGATCGAAAGGATACAGCGCCGCGCGGCTCGATGATGCCTGCGACGATACAAAAACACATCTAGCGTCACTAACAAACTTGACGACCTGGGATGGCGTACCCTTGAGCAACGTCGCATTGACAGTCGGCTCATGGCCCTCTTTAAGATCACCCGGGGGCTCCTCTCTGTTAACTCTCACGGGCTACTGCGCCCTGTCATGTGCATGACACGTCGCTCGCACTCGAAAAGTTTCATCGCGTTTCAAACTAGCCTGTCCTCTGAGTATCTATCCTTTTTTTAAAAAAAAAACAATTATTTAATCGGGGAAAGCTAAGGAGGCGGATATTTCGAAATACTCGGCTCCACTAGCAATGGATTAAATTGTTCGGAAAGACTGAATGTTAAACGGCCTAAATGGCGGAGGGGTTTGCTTTTACCTACGTAGTAATCGTTCATTACCGAGTATGTGAGGATCTTAATATATAATGACAGGCTGGAATGTTTAACTGTTGAAATTTCTAATCCATACTCTCGGCCATTCCTTGTTAGTACGTGGTATAGACCTCCCAATTCCCCGCCTGACGTGCTTATCGATTTTGGAGTTCTACATCTCGTAGGCGATATGAACATAAACCAACTAACCAGATCCTGCTGACTGCAATTCTCGATCTATCGCTTAAAACAACTAATCACGTAGCCAACGAGAGTAACAGCTAAATCTCAGTCTCTTATTGACTTATGTTTAACTAATATCCCTGATATTTAATTCGCAACTGACGTATTTTTTCAAACCCTGGCGGTGTTAAAATTATCACCACACGAAGTCTTAAGTCTAAAACAGCGGAGTTTCTTAAAGACGTTTGTCAAAGACCATGGAACGACATTAGGCAATTCTCAGATCCTAACGACCTGTGGGAATTCTGGAAAAAATCAGTTATTGGCCTGTATAGATAAACACGCCCCTTAAAAAGCAAAAAGAACTTGGAAAAAGAAGTCTCCTTGTATTATCTATATATTAATACGGAAAATGCGTAAAAGAGCTGAGACTTCTTGAAAAAGAAAGCGGGCGTATTAGGCATATTTTAAAGCTTCCAAGAATTAAAGTGAACAATTCCGACAAATATGCATAACGAAAATATTTTAATGACAATCTCACTGCTAATAAAAAGGATCCCCGTAAAACATGGTAACTAATCAATGAACTGAACTTTCGTCAACCCAAGAAAAAAGTTATTGCTGATATCGAAACAGGAGATAAAGCTCTGCTTCTAAAATGGCTGAGGCCTCTGACTGTCATTTCACAAATAGTGGACATGCACGACTTGGTAAGAGGCATACCTCGTGCTGATACTCAACCGGGACACTATTTTACAGTCCCAACTGACAAGACCTTCTCTTTAAACAGTTGTAGTGCTAATGAGGTTCAAAAATTACTCGAAAAGTTAGAAGTTAAAAAGGCGACTGGCTTGGACAATCTAAATCTAGCACCCAAGTTTCTCAAAATAGCGGCCGATATTCTCGCTCCATCCCTGACATTTCAGAGAAAGCTTACTGGGTCTCTCCTTTTCCTGATATTTATTAATGACTCGCCTAATTGCTTGACCACGGTCATACCGCGGATGTACGCTGATGAAACCAGCTATTATCTCTGGCAACAGTAGCTTACCTGAACTTGAATGGAGAACTAGCTACACTTCACAAATGGCTAATTGTAAATAAGTTAAGCCTAAACATTGTTAAAACCGAGCTAATGTTAATAGGCTCACATTAGAAACTTGCAAATAACGTTGGTCATTCACTCAACATTCATTTAGAAGATCAAGTAAGTTCCTAGGAATTCACATTGATCATTGACGTAGTCCAAACATGTCAATGAGATGGCTAGAACTATTTCCTCTGGTATAGGCGCACTTAATTAAAAGGCTCAGGTCGTATATGTGTTAGATACAGCATTTCGTCTATTGCTGCTCTGTGTGGGAAGGTCTGAACAACGAATTGGCCGATAAATTACAAAAACTACAAAATCGTGCCATTGAGGTAATCACGAAGTCCGATTACCGCTCTTGCTACTGCCCTCCGCAAACATTAAGGATGGGATAACCTCTATACCAGAAGGAAAAAACAGAAAGCTAAACTAATGTTTAAAATTTTAAATAAATGAACACAGGAGTACTTACAAGATCTATTCAAGCCATGCAGCATTCACCACGGAATAAGATCTTAGAGACAAAGCAAATAAATTAGCTCTACCCAAGCCCTGTACTGAATTCCTTAAACGACGTCTCTGCTACAGTGGGGCCCATTTGTGGAATAGCTTTCCCAATAATACCAGAGAGACCAGATCTTTTACTACGTTTAAAACTGTAATCAGTTGCCTTATGGCAATTGATACTCGTACTCCCACACGGCAAGCATGTAAATCAGTTTTATTATTTTAATTGCATGACCTATTGTAACGGATGTTTTTACCGTGTCTTAATTAAGATGATGATGATGATGATTCGTAAACAATGAAACCTGGAAATGCAGCAGCGTTCTGTATCCCAGATGGAATTCCCCGGATTTTGATGACAAGGACTGGCCTTTGGCAAAAGTGATTGCAAACTATGGTGACCGTCCTTGGAATACAATAAACGGTACCGCATTACAGCTTAGTCAGGGTCGTAACATGGTATATGGGCTCAGGGCTCAAAGCCCAAAATATGACTGGGATCAGGGCTCAAAGGAAAGGGCTCAGGGCTCAGAAGAACGGGATCAGGGATCACAAGGCTTTTGAGCCCTAATCAGGGATCAGATTTATTACACTGTCTAAAAATCTCTTATCACAATATTTTTCCGCTTAATACGGTTTGTGTCCATAGAATTTCCTGGCCGAGGTACATTTATTTACCTATTCTTGCTTCCGGCTGGCGGCAGTTCCTGTCATACGCAGTCCTGGTTGTTTGACGAAAACAAACAAAAAAACAGAAAACATGGTATCATATTCTTAATTTGTTAATTGTTGAGGGCACCGTAATATGAATCTCAAGTCACTTTTCTCGCTTTGTAACGCAACTCCTCAACGCGCTGTCAACGCCAGAAGGCAGAGAAAGCAATTTATACATATCTTCTTTTGCGAGAAATGGGGAAGAAGAAAAAGGACGAAAAGAAATCCTGTGACAGAGAAAGGTACGTAAGTACTTCTTTGACTGATTTACTCCTGGCAAGGGTCCAAGCATAGGTTTTTTCGGCCGATCAAACATAACAACATACCGCCAGGACAAACCGATTCATTGAAAGCGGAATTTACTGTATAGGTTCCGATTGCCTCATCGTCTCAAACAAGTCACAAGGCGACTATAAATCGAGGCTCGTATTTTTTGACCAGTAACTTAACTCTTAAAAGTACTTAAATAATTAGAATGGACATCAAAAGTAGAATACAGAAGTACAATGAATTCGCGCGCTTTGTTGCAAAATAAATGCTTTCTCGCAATTTAATAAATCTGCTCTAATTGCATGGAGTTCTAGGGTTATCTCGAACTCTGATGAGAAACCGAGATCGGTTCACCTACCAGTACTAGTATTGGGCCGGGAAAGTAAAGGACACATTCCATTACTATATAACTGATAAACGCTTGTATGATAAATCACAGGCAGCCCAAGCGCACTATGTGTAGGTCCGTCGCGTGCTTCAGAGGTCATTTGGTCGGAATATACTAGAATTATTAGTGTATTATCTGATGCCAAATAAATGCAAAAATCTGACAGACAAACAAGAAGACTTCATATCTTTAAGATTTTTGCATTGATTTGGCATCAGATAATACACTAATAATTCTAGTATATTCCGACCAAATGACCTCTGAAGCGCGAACCTGCACATAGCGTGCTTGGGCTGCCTGTGGGTAAATAGTCTGAAATTTCAGTGTGGAATTAGTGAAAATAAGTGGAACACCAAAGACCAGCCTCGGTGAAATAAAAGTTACAAAACCTTTATCATTTATTTTCTTTAGTTTTTTTTAAATATAAAATAAACGGTTGAATTGGTGAAAGGAATGTTGCATACTAGGTACAAGTAGCAGAGTCTGCAGGAATTTAATACATTATAGCACTCAGCATAAAGGGCCACTAGTAAGGGGCCCACTATTTGATTTTTGAGCCGGGGTGGGTTATTTTTTTCATGCATGAGTTTTTCAGACCTCATTCGTGCAGTGGCTATTTTTTTTTGTACAAAATTTACAGACTTAAGTGACAATATTGATCTACAAGAATTTTTTCAACCCTTTGGGCTATTTGGCCTCGGCTTACGTAATGGTTGGCCCCGAAAGGTATCACCACCTTAGATTTGGAGCCTGAATTTTTTAGTGGAGTGAGAATACCCGCTCTGAACGACTATGCATCGCAGTGGCCCAGCTGAATTTTAGAATTAATAGAGAGGCTCTACCAATCCTCGTTTATCTTTTATACCGGTCCCCAAAGCCATTACACAAAGAGAAAGTTGGGTCTAAAGGCACCGGAATGGCTTCGAAAGTCGCACGGCAAGAGTAAACCTTAAGGGGGACATTGACGAGGAAACGAGCGTGGAGGGAAAGGAGCGACAAAGGAAGGCATTGCAGAGCTTTGCGAAAGAATTCGGACGGGGTGTACGACAGCAACGAACGAGAGGGAAGACCAAAGAAAGAGCTGGTACACTTCCACTTGCTCTGAGTATGTTCAGAAGGAATGCGTCGGCATATGGAGAAGTCGATCTGCTGAAAGAGGTTCAAAGGAGTGAAGAACAAACTGCAGTTCAAGACGCAGCCGAAGAATTGAGATTATCTATTCCAAACGCGACGTAGTTGCTCTTAAGCACAATTACAAGAGGTGTATCATTCCTCTCCTCCTTGCAGTTCTTTTAAAGGATCTCCACCATAACGGTGACGCATTCCTGGAAGATCACATGGGTTTGAGATGGCTGGAACAGTCAGCAGAAAATCCCCTTGTATACCAGACTGGGCACCGTGACGATAGAAATTCACCTAACTGTATCATCGGGAACGTTTAAATAATAAAAGATGGAAACAACTTCTGTTTGAGCTGCCATGAAGAGCAACGCCTAGTTGCATTGCTCCAGGGGTCAGTTGAATCAGATGATTCACCTGCGTCAGGTGGTGACGAAGAGGAAGGGGAGCAAGCCCAGGCGGACAACTTTTCAGAGCCAATTAGATTTGAAGCTGGAAGGAGTAGGTCTGGAAGACCTACAACCAGATATGTCCTCCAACAATCTGCAATGGTTATTAAGCCAGGAAAAGCCATTAATGGGCTTGACACAAAAAAGCTGTTAAACTGTAGAACCTGTGGCTTCATTTAATTTTTTACTTAATGTAAAGTAGGTATTTTGCTATTGGTAATTGATCGTGATCGTCACTGTAACATACACAGAGTGAAAGAGGAAATTCACATAAGACTACTGACAACATCAACAGGGATAGCAGAATAGAAAGCTCTGATAGAACCTACAACTTGTACTAAAAATTAAAGTTAATGTTTTTCTCATTAGCCCATTTGAGCACGTCCTATATTCTATATTTGGAGATAAACAAAGTTGCCTAAGTTAAAATTTTGTGTAAAAACTTGGATGGGATCAATTTTTTTCTCAGGGCTCAGGGATCAAAATTTTGCGGAAAATGGGGCTCAGGGATCAAAACAACGGCAAGAAAATAGGGATAAATGGGTCCCGAATATACCATGTTACGACCCTGGCTTAGTGGATATGGGCCAATAATGTAGATTGCGCTGGCGGTCAATAAGTTTCCCGCGGTTATTGTTTTTTATCACGCGCTTGACGGACTTTGAAGAGAAGATAGAGGGTCTGTGAACAGGCTAGAGAAGGTTATCTAAGAAGGCGCTTCTTTCAATTCTACACCTTCCCAATCCTGCAAGACACCTTCACAATGCAAATATTTCGAGATAATTAAACTTTCTTTAAAATCCTTTGTCTGACTAAAGATTCTGTCCGATATTGATCAGTGGAGTTTCTAAGGAATCTTTACAAGCAGGTGCTCTGAAGCTGTTATCACTTATTCAACTTTTATTTACAAAGACTTACGTCAACGTGTTTATTTTAACTGTAAATCACAATTATACTAATATATATAAAGCAATCAATTTTGTACCGTTTATATTATCCAGTGACTTGAAATGGAACAATCACATTGTAGATTGCATTAGTTGAGAAAGCAAATAAGCGCCTGTATTTCATTGTTCTCTTGAAAAGGGCTCGTGTTCCCCTTATTGAAGCCGTGGTTTAAGATTACTCATTCATGTATCATATGACCTTAATTAATGCAAGATCATACATCCTGATCGAGTCCCGATCAACCAAAAGGAACGAACCCTGAATAAAGAAAAAAGGCGATGATAGCCTCAGGAATACGTGAGGCTCAAAACAACATACGCTTGCCACTTCATCAGCTAAAGTTAAGAGGCGAAAGAAAAATGGGGAACACTTAATAAATAGAAAGGGATTGGGGAAAATTTATGTAAGAAAGAATTTTTTTTACGTTGTAAATTAATAAAAGTTAAAATACTTATTGAATTTTTAAATGTTAGTCTAAACTTTTGTACTCATACTACCCGCGTGGAATTAAAAACAAATTTTAAATCTGTCTATTAATAAATACATCAGGGCAGCACTAAGCGGATTTGTCCTTCCTTTTAGAATTTACTGCAACATTCACTTGTGACAATGAAATGGAAATTTTTGCTGACGGTCAAAGCCTCGGAACGGACAGTGATTGGAGCAACCCCACCACCTACCTTGTACCAGGAAACACTCGAGTTCTGTCAGTAGCCGGGGAAAACACTGAAGGCTCTTTTCTCGGAATACTCGGCTCCACTAGCAACGGACGGGTAACTGATGGAACCTGGAAATGCAGCAGCAATTTTTCTAGTGGATGGAATTCCCCGGATTTTGATGACCAGGACTGGCCTTTTGCAAGAGTGATTGCAAAACATGGTGCCAAACCCTGGAGAAAAATACGTGGCATAGCAGAGACGGCTAAGTGGATATGGGCCAATAATAGTGAACGCACTGTCTATTGTAGGCTGAAACTGCAGTAAATTAAAAACGGATTGTAATGTTGAATTTAACTAAGACGAGAAAATGTGTAACTTTAGTCAGTTTTAAGAGCACGAAGAAGATAGAAGTATGTATAATACAAACTTATAAATTTCATGGTTACCCCAGTTACCTCTTTTTAAAGATCCAGCTAGTTTTTTGAGCGTAAATGTACTTTTAAAGCACTTAAGTACTAATTGAGGACACTATTTTTACGTCTCCTACTGGAGACGGGACCGCTATTTTACATGGTCATCCGAGTCACCAGAAATTGTAGCCGTTTGCATGCAGGCCAAAGGTAGTAGCTTTATTTCATTTCTCAGTACTGTTGTTGAAGACCCTGAGTATCAATCGAACCCACGACTTTCCGCTCTGCAGTCAAGTGCTCTACCGATAGAGCTAATCCTGCTGCGGTCGAATTCAGCACTTTTTTTTTCGTCTTATCAAGTAACCAATTCGTTATGCGATGCATTTTAGCGAAAGTCTCTGCTAGATGAAACGTTCCTGTTCTTATCCATAATATTCTCCAATAATTAATATGTAAGCATAAAAAATGAGCTCCTTTTTAGAGAGACTTAAAACTACGTTTGTAAGAAGATGACTAATTTTATGTTAGGGAAATAAATGAGCTCATACAAACTTTCCGAAAAAATTCTTATCGATGAAACTGGGGTAAATCTAATAAAACTTTCACAAGTTGATTAACAAATGTATAGCTATTTATAGTTTTCACACAACGTGACAAAATTTCTTAATTTGTCGTTTACAGTTTATTATATTGGCACAAAAAATAATAATTACATGTAGGGGTCCTTTAATAAAACTTTGCAAGCACAATTTACAGGTGTAGCCATTGTTTTAATTGATGTTTCACTGAATTTAACTAAACTTTTTTTTTCTTTTCGTTCTTTTCGCAAACATCGGCGACCTCGCAAGAAAGAAAAATAAATGCCCCCTTGCGCTGACGGTCAATAAATTCTCCCGCGGTTTTTTTAATCACGCGCGCTTGACGGACTTTGAAGAGAAAATAGAGGCCCTGTGAACAAGCTATACTCAGCCTTATTCAATAACTGTTTAGTAGAACTGCGGAATACATTATTCCTTTATAGGGCTCATTAGTTTAAATCTCGATATGAGTGTGCTGGAAGTTCATTTTGCAGACTGCAATTTAAAATCTTTTGGAAAAAAAAGTAGTGACTCTGAGATCATTCAAAGTTCCTCTGAGATAACATTTCATGAATAAATTATGAAGACTTCGATGTCGTTTGGTGATAAATTAGCCTTTTTAAGTCAATATGTATTTCACTTTCATGTTCTCGATGATTACAAAAAAAAAAGCTTCTCGAAATAATCCGAAGAATTAGGAAATCTTGGTGCGGAGCATTAGGCTTCTTTTTGAAGTTAATTGTAAATTGTAAATATATATTTTATATACGGACGGTGCACCATTCAAATTGTTGAAACCGCAAGCGCGAATGAACGACCCCCATGAAGATAAAGCTCTTGGCGGATGAATAGATAAAGTCCAGAATTTGACAGACGAAAGAAGATAATTATGCAAATGACCTCGTAAAGACTAAGCTCTCTGCAAGTTTTCATTATGCGAGCTGATACTCGGAGAAAGGTTTTAGCCAAACTTATTAGAACTTTGTGTGGATACGTCAAGTTGGTGCCTGTCTAAGAAGAACCAATACTCCCGGGGGGTGGGAAGGTACTCAACAAAGATCTATACGTGGCAGGAGCCTTGTACGGGGAGGCTACGACCCGAGGTCACTCCCCGGCTTACCCCTTTATATACCACTTTTGCCAGAAATGGCACCCCTTTCACATACCTAGTTTAGAACTTTGCGTAAATTTTGATTAATGTAAATAGTCTAATTAGTTTCTTGGCCTCACTCCAGACCTCTTCTGTGACCGTTCGCGCACGCCGTCTTTACCAAGTACCGGAATATGACGTTAACACGCAAAGGTGATAATGGATAAATTTGGCTGGCTTCATTTCCTTGGCGAATAGTACAAAGGCGGTGTACACAAAAGGGTCAAAATGTAGTCACCACAAAACTTAATTCCCGTATCCCGCTACCTTTCCCTTACGATTCCCGCATCCCAACCCAATAAAAATAGCAAATCCCGTTCCCGCTCATTACCAAAATTCCCGCTTCTCACTCCTTTTTTTTAGCTCGCATCCCAAGTACTACCACAAGAAATAGTCAAATACCGCATCCCGCTAAACCTATTGTGGACCCTCTTTTAAGTACTTACGAGAGGTTGACTTGTAACAAGTTCAGACATTGCCGTGCCTAGCCTCCGTACGGCGTCTTCCCAGGCCTTCTCGGTCAACGCATTTCGGTGGCGTATCCGAGACAAAACTAGCTCGGACCACGTGACCCGAAACGCATTGGCTGCGCAGATTAATGAGGCCTAGGGACAAGGCAACGGGTCCTTCGCGATTGTAAATATAACTGGACCCTGGAATTCTGTTACTTTTGTTATAACTGGGTGTCGTGCCCCGGCCGCGAGTTGGGCGTTCGCGCGTCTACTTTTGCTTTTTCACGAAGATTCTTTTTAAAATTAACCGTCTCGTTTCTATGGGTAAAATAATATTAGAAGCGGAATACTTAAAAGTATGATCTATCAAATGTTAAAATTTTTCAAAAGAATAACTTATTTCATCCCAAGATGATCCTAAGACCTCTTTTTTGCTTAAAGATACAAAAATACAGGTTTATTAATATTTAACTCTTTGAAACAAAAGAAATTAATTTTTAACTTTTTAGTTAACTGTAACTGAAATAAATTGACCGATAGCCGTAAAAGAGCCAAAATTTAAGCCGATAACCGTAAAAGCCACCACCTCATTGAGACCACCTAGATACAATGACTTAAAATATGAATAAAATACAAAAGCAAAACGATTTCTTGACTATTTCACAGCCATGTGAAAAACATTAAATGAATCTGTTATCCCTTTTATGCCTTTTTAAAATCCCTACCCTTTCATATACCTGAAGGCTAAAAAAGGTAATCCTTTCGGGCGGAGCCTCCCCGTATTGCTGGTTTTCAGTGTCACGCCATCCAAAATAGATCAAAATAAAAATCAAAACCATTCGACAGATAAAGTCCAGAATCTGGGAAATGAAAGGAGGTAAATATACAAAGACCCTCGCCAAGATTTGGGTCGAAGGAATAATTCGTATACGAGATATCCGAGGAAATGTTTTACCAAAATTTATAGAGCTTTGTATGGAGACGCCATGCTGGAGCTCATCCGGATGAGCTCCAACATGGCGGACGGAAACCAAAAGAAACATCTGTTACCGAGTTTTGCTAAAAAAGCGTGAATTTACTCCCAGAGGAACTCATAAACATTAAAGTAATACTTTTCTAACACTTGAACTGATTAGATAGCAAAATTCTTCGAAAAAAGTCACTTTTTTAACCTAAATGACAGCTGTCTCGGTCGTCATGAAAATGCTGCGTCACGCAAAAGCTTAGAAATTCAAGCGTACTTTATTACAAAACCAAGACCCCTTTTGAAGCGAAAATTTGTTTCAGCTGCTCTAATACACCATGAAAGTAAAATCTCATTAGGATCAATAGTTTTGTAGTTTGAATTTTAGTGACGTCATGTGAAAACCAGCAAAAAGGGATCGGAGTACCCCCCGGGAGTCAGGTGCCTCTCTGTAGGGAATCATTGGGGAACATCTGTCATTGAGCTTGCTGCAAAAGTGAGAATACATCACTCGAGGAACTCCTCACAGATCTTAATGCTTATTCTAAATTGTTTTTTAGTTTCAGAACCAGCAGTTCAAGCGCTATATGATGTCCCTGGCACTTTATACCCCAGATGTATGGAAGTGAGGCTGTTGGTGGGCCATGCAAGACTTCAGAGAGATCAGCACCTGGTAAAGCTCTCAAGGGTCACACCTTTAAGGAGTTTGCAGTGAGGGCAATTGTTGATTGCCAGAACACCTGTAAAAGAGAGCCCAGGTGTGCAAGTTACAATTTTTACATTCCGGGCAAAGTGTGTGAGCTTAACAGTCATACCAAGGAGGAGAAACCTGATCATTTTGTAACGGATGAACTGAGATCCTACATGAAACGTGAAGATATGAACTGTGTAAAACATTGTACACCAAACACACTCTCAATTGATTCCCTCGATTCTCCTGATTAGTTTAACTTGTCCAGCTGGCAGGGCTAAACTTCAGTGCAACAACGGGCCGAGTTTTCACGAGGTTTTGCGAGATACGTAGTTCCAAAACGAAACGAGTTAGATCAATCATGAGTGATATATACGCTGTCAGTAGAATATCGAAAGAAAGTCGTCCTTGTATTCTGCAGATGGCGTTCTTGATTAAGAAATAGCGCACATTTTCCTTACACTGTCTGTTTTATACGCCCCAAGGTTGAGTACTGCTCAAGTGTTTGGGACCCCCGCCCAGGCGTTGAGAATAACGGTTCATATAGGATCGAAAGGATACAGCGCCGCGCGGCTCGATGGTGCCTGTGACGATACAAAAACACACCTAGCGTCACTAACCTGCTTGAAGACCTGGGATAGCAACGTCGAATTGACAGTCGGCTCATGGCCCTCTTTAAGATCACCCGGGGGCTCCTCTCTGTTAACTCTCGCGGGCTACTGCGCCCTGACATGTGCATGACACGTCGCTCGCACTCGGAAAGTTTCATCCCGATTCAAACTAGCCTGTCCTCTGAGTATCTATCCTTTTTTTTTCAAAAACAATTATTTAATCGGGGAAAGCTAAGGAGGCGAATATTTCGAAATACTCGGCTCCACTAGCAATGGATTAAATTGTTCGGAAAGACAGAATGTTAAACGGCCTAAATGGCGGAGGGGTTTGCTTTTACCTACGTAGTAATCGTTCATTACCGAGTATGTGAGGATCTTAATATATAATGACAGGCTGGAATGTTTAACTGTTGAAATTTCTAATCCATACTCTCGGCCATTCCTTGTTAGTACGTGGTATAGACCTCCCAATTCCCCGCCTGACGTGCTTATCGATTTTGGAGTTCTACATCTCGTAGGCGATATGAACATAAACCAACTAACCAGATCCTGCTGACTGCAATTCTCGATCTATCGCTTAAAACAACTAATCTCGTAGCCAACGAGAGTAACAGCTAAATCTCAGTCTCTTATTGACTTATGTTTAACTAATATCCCTGATATTTAATTCGCAACTGACGCATTTTTTCAAACCCTGGCGGTGTTAAAATTATCACCACACGAAGTCTTAAGTCTAAAACAGCGGAGTTTCTTAAAGACGTTTGTCAAAGACCATGGAACGACATTAGGCAATTCTCAGATCCTAACGACCTGTGGGAATTCTGGAAAAAATCAGTTATTGGGCTGTATAGATAAACACGCCCCTTAAAAAGCAAAAAGAACTTGGAAAAAGAAGTCTCCTTGTATTATCTATATATTAATACGGAAAATGCGTAAAAGAGCTGAGACTTCTTGAAAAAGAAAGCGGGCGTATTAGGTGTATTTTAAAGCTTCCAAAAATTAAAGTGAACAATCCCGTCAAATATGCATAACGAAAATATTTTAATGACAATCTCACTGCTAATAAAAAGGATCCCCGTAAAACATGGTAACTAATCAATGAACTGAACTTTCGTCAACCCAAGAAAAAAGTTATTGCTGATATCGAAACAGGAGATAAAGCTCTGCTTCTAAAATGGCTGAGGCCTCTGACTGTCATTTCACAAATAGTGGACATGCACGACTTGGTAAGAGGCATACCTCGTGCTGATACTCAACCGGGACACTATTTTACAGTCCCAACTGACAAGACCTTCTCTTTAAACAGTTGTAGTGCTAATGAGGTTCAAAAATTACTCGAAAAGTTAGAAGTTAAAAAGGCGACTGGCTTGGACAATCTAAATCTAGCACCCAAGTTTCTCAAAATAGCGGCCGATATTCTCGCTCCATCCCTGACATTTCAGAGAAAGCTTACTGGGTCTCTCCTTTTCCTGATATTTATTAATGACTCGCCTAATTGCTTGACCACGGTCATACCGCGGATGTACGCTGATGAAACCAGCTATTATCTCTGGCAACAGTAGCTTACCTGAACTTGAATGGAGAACTAGCTACACTTCACAAATGGCTAATTGTAAATAAGTTAAGCCTAAACATTGTTAAAACCGAGCTAATGTTAATAGGCTCACATTAGAAACTTGCAAATAACGTTGGTCATTCACTCAACATTCATTTAGAAGATCAAGTAAGTTCCTAGGAATTCACATTGATCATTGACGTAGTCCAAACATGTCAATGAGATGGCTAGAACTATTTCCTCTGGTATAGGCGCACTTAATTAAAAGGCTCAGGTCGTATATGTGTTAGATACAGCATTTCGTCTATTGCTGCTCTGTGTGGGAAGGTCTGAACAACGAATTGGCCGATAAATTACAAAAACTACAAAATCGTGCCATTGAGGTAATCACGAAGTCCGATTACCGCTCTTGCTACTGCCCTCCGCAAACATTAAGGATGGGATAACCTCTATACCAGAAGGAAAAAACAGAAAGCTAAACTAATGTTTAAAATTTTAAATAAATGAACACAGGAGTACTTACAAGATCTATTCAAGCCATGCAGCATTCACCACGGAATAAGATCTTAGAGACAAAGCAAATAAATTAGCTCTACCCAAGCCCTGTACTGAATTCCTTAAACGACGTCTCTGCTACAGTGGGGCCCATTTGTGGAATAGCTTTCCCAATAATACCAGAGAGACCAGATCTTTTACTACGTTTAAAACTGTAATCAGTTGCCTTATGGCAATTGATACTCGTACTCCCACACGGCAAGCATGTAAATCAGTTTTATTATTTTAATTGCATGACCTATTGTAACGGATGTTTTTACCGTGTCTTAATTAAGATGATGATGATGATGATTCGTAAACAATGAAACCTGGAAATGCAGCAGCGTTCTGTATCCCAGATGGAATTCCCCGGATTTTGATGACAAGGACTGGCCTTTGGCAAAAGTGATTGCAAACTATGGTGACCGTCCTTGGAATACAATAAACGGTACCGCATTACAGCTTAGTCAGGGTCGTAACATGGTATATGGGCTCAGGGCTCAAAGCCCAAAATATGACTGGGATCAGGGCTCAAAGGAAAGGGCTCAGGGCTCAGAAGAACGGGATCAGGGATCACAAGGCTTTTGAGCCCTAATCAGGGATCAGATTTATTACACTGTCTAAAAATCTCTTATCACAATATTTTTCCGCTTAATACGGTTTGTGTCCATAGAATTTCCTGGCCGAGGTACATTTATTTACCTATTCTTGCTTCCGGCTGGCGGCAGTTCCTGTCATACGCAGTCCTGGTTGTTTGACGAAAACAAACAAAAAAACAGAAAACATGGTATCATATTCTTAATTTGTTAATTGTTGAGGGCACCGTAATATGAATCTCAAGTCACTTTTCTCGCTTTGTAACGCAACTCCTCAACGCGCTGTCAACGCCAGAAGGCAGAGAAAGCAATTTATACATATCTTCTTTTGCGAGAAATGGGGAAGAAGAAAAAGGACGAAAAGAAATCCTGTGACAGAGAAAGGTACGTAAGTACTTCTTTGACTGATTTACTCCTGGCAAGGGTCCAAGCATAGGTTTTTTCGGCCGATCAAACATAACAACATACCGCCAGGACAAACCGATTCATTGAAAGCGGAATTTACTGTATAGGTTCCGATTGCCTCATCGTCTCAAACAAGTCACAAGGCGACTATAAATCGAGGCTCGTATTTTTTGACCAGTAACTTAACTCTTAAAAGTACTTAAATAATTAGAATGGACATCAAAAGTAGAATACAGAAGTACAATGAATTCGCGCGCTTTGTTGCAAAATAAATGCTTTCTCGCAATTTAATAAATCTGCTCTAATTGCATGGAGTTCTAGGGTTATCTCGAACTCTGATGAGAAACCGAGATCGGTTCACCTACCAGTACTAGTATTGGGCCGGGAAAGTAAAGGACACATTCCATTACTATATAACTGATAAACGCTTGTATGATAAATCACAGGCAGCCCAAGCGCACTATGTGTAGGTCCGTCGCGTGCTTCAGAGGTCATTTGGTCGGAATATACTAGAATTATTAGTGTATTATCTGATGCCAAATAAATGCAAAAATCTGACAGACAAACAAGAAGACTTCATATCTTTAAGATTTTTGCATTGATTTGGCATCAGATAATACACTAATAATTCTAGTATATTCCGACCAAATGACCTCTGAAGCGCGAACCTGCACATAGCGTGCTTGGGCTGCCTGTGGGTAAATAGTCTGAAATTTCAGTGTGGAATTAGTGAAAATAAGTGGAACACCAAAGACCAGCCTCGGTGAAATAAAAGTTACAAAACCTTTATCATTTATTTTCTTTAGTTTTTTTTAAATATAAAATAAACGGTTGAATTGGTGAAAGGAATGTTGCATACTAGGTACAAGTAGCAGAGTCTGCAGGAATTTAATACATTATAGCACTCAGCATAAAGGGCCACTAGTAAGGGGCCCACTATTTGATTTTTGAGCCGGGGTGGGTTATTTTTTTCATGCATGAGTTTTTCAGACCTCATTCGTGCAGTGGCTATTTTTTTTTGTACAAAATTTACAGACTTAAGTGACAATATTGATCTACAAGAATTTTTTCAACCCTTTGGGCTATTTGGCCTCGGCTTACGTAATGGTTGGCCCCGAAAGGTATCACCACCTTAGATTTGGAGCCTGAATTTTTTAGTGGAGTGAGAATACCCGCTCTGAACGACTATGCATCGCAGTGGCCCAGCTGAATTTTAGAATTAATAGAGAGGCTCTACCAATCCTCGTTTATCTTTTATACCGGTCCCCAAAGCCATTACACAAAGAGAAAGTTGGGTCTAAAGGCACCGGAATGGCTTCGAAAGTCGCACGGCAAGAGTAAACCTTAAGGGGGACATTGACGAGGAAACGAGCGTGGAGGGAAAGGAGCGACAAAGGAAGGCATTGCAGAGCTTTGCGAAAGAATTCGGACGGGGTGTACGACAGCAACGAACGAGAGGGAAGACCAAAGAAAGAGCTGGTACACTTCCACTTGCTCTGAGTATGTTCAGAAGGAATGCGTCGGCATATGGAGAAGTCGATCTGCTGAAAGAG